GTGAAGCATCAAGTGATGAAGAAACAAAGGAGGTTGAGAAGAAGGAGAATGAAGATGAAGAAATGCCCCAGAGAGAGGCTGATTCCGAAGACAACAGTAAAGCTTCAAGTGATGAAAGCATGAAGGAGGATGAGACGGAACAGAAAAAGAAAAGGATACCTGAGAAGAACGACAAGAAGATGGCAAAGAACAACAAATGTGACAGTGAAGATGACACTGCAGCTTCAAGCGATGAGGAAGCATGTTGCTCTGAGGAGAAGGACGAGGAAGATGAATCAACAGCTGAGGAAACAAAGGCTGCTGGGACAACCAAAATCCATGATACACCTGTACGAAGTCAAGTGCAACAACAAGCTCGGCCATTGGGGCGCCCAAGTGCTGCAGCACTTGGCTTTAGCACAAGTGGCATGACAAATGAGCAAGTGGAGGCAAAACAGAAAGGGGCAAAACCATCTGCAGAAAAGGCAAAGCCTAAGGCATCACCAAAGAATCCGGCCCCATACACTGGCAAAGGAAAAGCCAAAGTTGCGCGAGACAGTGAGGATGATATAAGCATCAGCCCCTTTGAGCCACTTCCTGAGTCATCCAACAGTGACTCAAGTGACAGCAGCTCAAGTGACAGCGATTCAAGTGATGAAAAGAAAAAACCAAAGGTTGCAGCCAAGGCGGGAATCCGAGTTAGGGAGGAATTCCCAAAAACAAACATTCGAAGATGGACTTCACTTGGACCCAAATATGACATCCCAGCATGTTTGAGCAGTCTTTCTGCAGTACGTCGAGCAAAGAAGTTGCTCAAACAAACCAAGATTCCACAGTGGGTGGAATGCAACCCTGGACCCAAATATGACATCCCAGCATGTTTGAGCAGCCTTAGTGTGGTACGTCAAGCAAAGAAGTTGCTGAAACGCAAGCAGAAAAGAGCGTGTGACACCAAAGCTTTGCCCTGTGAAAAGGCAAAGCCCAAAGCTAAAGCGAAGAATGACAAGGCAAAAGAGAAAGAAGAAGGGAAAGGTTTAGAGGTGAAAGGAAAAGTTAAGGAAGAGAAAGATGCGCGACCACCTAGACGTCGCCACCGACACAAGCGGGCTAGATTCTTGGTTTGTAATCCAGTTTTGTTACTTATATATCGCTTATATGCATGCATAATCTCTCTCCCTCTCTCTCTCTCGATGTCTTTTTTTGTCGATGTATTGGGCCACTTCATCTAGACCCATGGGGACCAGGGAGCCATGACAAACAAACCCCTCAGAGCTCAGGAAGTGAATCTCCTGCCGCTCCCCCAGCTGAGCCTGGAAAAAATGCAACGCCACGCGAGAAGGAGGAGCTTTCCGCAAGTCCTCGTTGCACATGGGGCAGAGTTTCCTGTCTAGGTCATGCTAGGTCTGATAGGTCTCAAAGACTCACTTGATATGGGCAATGAACAATGTTCTGGATTGTGTCTTGCTGAATCTCAGATCATTGATTGCTAGTGGCAGATTATATTGATCCGATCTATATATACCCGCTCTCCTGAAATATAACTTTGGCTGTTAACACAACTGCTTGCCAATCTCAACCCTCTGTTTGCCAGGAGCCTGAAAACCTGGTGGAGGTGGTCCATGCGAAGGACTTCACATATGCATCTTTTCAAGTAGTGATTTCGAGGGTCCAACAAGCCGCACTAGACAAAGCAAATGCAAGGGTGCCATGTCCTGAGCACCAGCTAGAACTACTAAACTCCAAAAAGAAGAAGGGTAAGCAAGGGAGCCTCGGTTTGCAGTGGGGTGCACTGATGTTGCTACTATATATATATGACATGCTAGCTTTCTGGCGTTTGAAAACAATTCTAACTAAGGAAATATGAAGTTGTTCAGCTTGCTGATGGCCAGGATGGCTGGAAGACTGAAATTCGCAAGAGAATGAGCGGCAAATTGAAGGGTGGCACCTATAAGGTGTTTATTTCCCCGGAGGGCCAGAAAATCTACACTGCTAATAAAGCAATTGCGGCAGGGTTTAAAGCGGATGGGGAATGTGATGGCCGCAAAAAGCGGCAGAAGAAGAAGAACGCATGATCATGTGGGTTAAAGTGATTGTGAACAACCACCTCCCATCAAACAATGTTTGAGCTGTTGGTTCAAAAAGGGTTGAGCTATAGCCTGGGGTATTTTGCTGGGGTGGGTCTGGGAGCTGAGATTCCAAGGCCCAATGCAACTTTGTGGCAACAGCCATTGTGCGCACGCAGGAACCCATCAACAATGTGTTTGCATGTGTGTTCTTTGAGGAAAAACAATCACCCCAAGTGTGCGTGGCTGTGCGTTCACAGTGTTGCACATGTGTTACCTGTACTGTAACACCTTTAGATCGGATCTGTAGAGAAGCGGAGTGAAATGTTTGCAAAGCACCTTTCTGCACGCAATGCCTTTGCATCTTCCAAACCACAAACGGAAACACAGTTTCGAAATGAGTCAAAGGTCAGGTCCTCCAGTTTTGAAATGAGATTTAAGGTCCATTGTGTCCCATGGCCAGTGATCGCACCAGATTTTGTGTTTGGCTCTTTAGGGTCTTGAGGGTGGGTCAGTGCCACGAGAGCATCGCACCTTCTTCCAGTGTTACTGCTTCTGGCCCAGCTGGAGACTTCCAGCACGCCAAATGATTTTGTTTCCTGAACGCAATGAAGTTGGTAGAACTTGTAGAACTTGTTGGACCCTATCCAAAATATATAGGTTGCATATATGCGTGAGGAGCGGTGAACAGAACAAGAATGAAAGGTGCAA